TATAAATACATGTGTTTAACAATAGCTGTTTGAAATTCGTCAAAACATGTCATGAGCAATGTTGCTTGGAAAGTTTCAGTAGACCCATGTTGGAAATATGTACAAAGATACACTTGGCATAGAGTGAGTCAGATCTATTGTACATCCTACTGAAAATCCAAATAAGAATCTATAATATGATAAATTTTGGAATATATCAATACCTTTCTCTTAAATATGTTGCAAATTTTATTTGCAATTTTGGAAAGATGGTGAGCTAATATTATGAATATGAAAATTAACTAGACTCTATAGTAAACAAGACTCACACTTTTCCTTTGATTCAGTCCTTGACATATTAGGGTGATCTTCTCCAAGAAGTCTGTTTCTCATATCTAGAACTTTGATTTGAAGCTTCTCTGCATCTGCATATTTTCCTAGACTCCTATATGTATTCGCAAGATTATTCATGGCCCCAATTGTATCTGGGTGCTCTTCTCCAAGAAGTCTGTTTCTCATATCTAGAACTTTGATTTGAAGCTTCTCTGCATCTGCATATTTTCCTAGACTCCTATATGTATTTGCAAGATTATTCATGGCCGAGATTGTATCTGGGTGCTCTTCTCCAAGAAGTCTGTTTCTCATATCTAGAACTTTGATTTCAAGCTTCTCTGCATCTGCATATTTTCCTAGACTGCTATATGTATTTGCAAGATTATTCATGGCCGAAATTGTATCTGGGTGCTCTTCTCCAAGAATTCTGTTTCTCATATCTAGAACTTTGATTTGAAGCTTCTCTGCATCTGCATATTTTCCTAGACTGCTATATGTATTTGCAAGATTATTCATGGCCGAGATTGTATGTGGGTGCTCTTCTCCAAGAAGTCTGTTTCTCATATCTAGAACTTTGATTTGAAGCTTCTCTGCATCTGCATATTTTCCTAGACTGCTATATGTATTTGCAAGATTATTCATGGCCGAAATTGTATCTGGGTGCTCTTCTCCAAGAATTCTGTTTCTCATATCTAGAACTTTGATTTGAAGCTTCTCTGCATCTGCATATTTTCCTAGACTGCTATATGTATTTGCAAGATTATTCATGGCCGAGATTGTATGTGGGTGCTCTTCTCCAAGAAGTCTGTTTCTCATATCTAGAACTTTGATTTGAAGCTTCTCTGCATCTGCATATTTTCCTAGACTGCTATATGTATTTGCAAGATTATTCATGGCCGAGATTGTATGTGGGTGCTCTTCTCCAAGAAGTCTGTTTCTCATATCTAGAACTTTGATTTGAAGCTTCTCTGCATCTGCATATTTTCCTAGACTGCTATATGTATTTGCAAGATCACCCATGGCCCAGATTGTATGTGGGTGCTCTTCTCCAAGAAGTCTGTTTCTCATATCTAGAACTTTGATTTCAAGCTTCTCTGCATCTGCATATTTTCCTAGACTGCTATATGTATCTGCAAGATTATTCATGGCCGAAATTGTATGTGGGTGCTCTTCTCCAAGAATTCTGTTTCTCATATCTAGAACTTTGATTTGAAGCTTCTCTGCATCT